ATGTACCAGAGTATTTGATCTCCCTAGAGCCCAGAGAAGGTAAGCTATCCAGAATAAAAACAGCCCCCCTTTATATTAGAAGAGGGGTGTGAGAGCGGACCTATGCCTTACTTTGGACCACCTGGATTCCATCCCTTACCACCGACGAAGTTACCGCCGCCTCCACCTACAACAGCCTCTTGTTAGCAAGTGTCCATCATCTATCAAGACTCATAGATCCATAAATGAAGCTGCAAACATGCTCCCTAGGTTGGCTTGTGGTACCCGGACAGGTAATAATGAAGGTAGTGATTAGGTAGATAACTATGCCATATGCGTACCCCATTTCACGCTGTATTTGCCACCTGCTTCATTGGTGTAGGTGACCTGGGAACCGCCGTCGGTCCACCACGAGAAGTAATAGCCATTGTGACGGCCTGTGGCACTGGGAGTAGACTGGCGCTTCTCGAGGATACCAGAGTCCGTAATATTAAGCGGCGAAGCGGAAACCACGCCTATAAGAGAAGCCCACGCGACGATTAGAGACTTGAACGAGACCATGGCGGTAAAGGCTTAAGAATTTCTTGATTTATTCCTGAGGTGACCAGACACTAGAGTAGTCAACAGCATTGCGACGTGCACCGCTTTTATACTGCCATATTCCCGCTGCTAGCCAACTTAGAGATATCAGGGCCGTCCGGATCCCGTACCTGACGATCTCCTTCGATACAAGCCTTACCTGAATAAGCCTGAGGCCGCACATGCCCTCGAAGTCTTAGTAACCGCATACTGAGCGTGTAGGATAAATTCACGATGCTACGCTCAAGCAGGTATTCGGTATCCAGGACCGGGGATAATACATAGCCCAGGGCACTGGAACCAGGTGAGCATTATATCATACCCCCCTATGGAGCCGCATTGTTAAGCTATTTGGACTTGTTGCGGGGTGCGCCACGACTTTTAGACCGTGACTAGGCCATCGTGGAATTTTGCCGGAGGGGGAAATCCTACTTGGCGCTGAACGGCCCAACCCGCCTTATTCGGTGTGCTCTCCTTGGTATTCTAGGCATCGTGAAAACAATAGAGTCGTTGGTCAAGAGGTTTACTCGCTTTGGGAAACTGCGGCCATAATCGTCCGTAGAGTGCGGCCCTAAGTTTGCGTAGACCAGCTTGGCCGGATGAAGGGAGTTGACGGCCCGGTTGAGAGTAAAGGCTCGATCGAACGGTTTAATTCCGAGCTTAAAATCGAATCATTTCAGAATAGCTCTTGTTAGGCACCTAAAAGAAGGATATTCCTGTTTACTAGTATTGGCTTAACGATATAAGTGGAACGAAATATAGACATAAGACATGCATACACCATTTCATGAACGGATAGATTTCCAAGGCTAAGGCTATGGATAATATCTCCTTGTGGCGATAGAGACGCTTTAGAGTCCATACCATATCTTGGAAATGGCATCTATCTTTATAACCATCACCGTCTTGACTGCTTTCGAGAGCCAAGTAGGTCAAGGTTCGCTAAGCCGATTAGGTTTAAGACAATGAACACGTGTTGATGAAGTTGAGACTGTCCGTGCTGTTGGGCCGGTAGCTATTGTCTTAGTTTTCTTTTTAAGATCTTACGCAAGGTCTTTTTTGAATCTACGGAAGACAATATTTCTCTGTCGTTGATCTTTGACGATGCTTATTTATCATGGCCTAGCTTATATCGGAGTTTTACTAACAGTCGACCGAAGTGGTGGTTTCTATCAGTTTAGGAACCGCGAGTTTCCCAACGGATATGTATAAGTATGCCTTGCTGAGATACCTACCTAGATAATGTCTCGCTCGAATAAGTGTTCAGCCTCTAGTTCTGAAAATAGCGATCACTTCATTGCGCCTTTACAGGGTATGGCGTCGAAGGGGAGAAGTGATATTACGAGGATGGCCAAAGCACTCTCCTTTGATGCTTGAGTACCTAACTATTGCTTTTTACTCTCTTGGTCATGGCGTTTAAGCCACGCGACAATAACAGGTACGGACGGCCAATTATAGCTCAAATTTTATAAGCTATATGGCTTCCGAGATTTCGGGTCTTCTGTAGGGACCCTGAAGTAAGTGGCTGAGCTCACACCGAATCGTACATCGAGCTAGCTAGACCGCCATTGACCGCGACTATGCTTTATCGGAGCTTAGGAAAGGTTGAATAAGTCAGTGGCGTTGAGTCGGACGGGCAGCGTACCGTAATCCTGATCATGAAGGCTGATATGGCGGCGATCGATCTTAATCCTAGCAGCAACCACGATGACACTTCGCATCTATGGTGCTACTGCAGCCTATTCCAAGATAACTCTCCGATTGGAAGACAGTTTGCTATGTCTTAGCTTGTTCACGTCGCAAGACTGTCTTAACCTTCCCCTAATTTCAGAAAGAAAACACCAAACCACAGCTCTAAGTCTCAGCTCCAAGTCCCATAACTCTATTCTAAGCCCTAATAAGTGAATTATTATTACCTTTTAGGCACCACTAATTATATAGAAGAAGGGTAACAGGTACAGAACCACGTCATGAATACTCGTGAAGAAAAGGGCGGTGATGGTTCATAAATAACTGGGCTGTGAGTATAAAGATGTTTTGGCCCGATGTATGGTGAATCTCGGAGCCGACGGTTAAACGTATTCTTTAACCCCGTAGCTGTAAGAAGATACGATACGACCTTTCCTCCTATGGCGCACAAGTGATCATATGTTTTACATCAGCCCCATGCGATATCAAATATTCTAATGTGCTACAACGGACTCAGTTCTAGGCGGGACCCTTAAGGAGACACATAAATTCGACCATTTGAATATTTTCTAGACTTACTTCTCACACCCCGGGGATTTAACTGGTAAACTTTAGCATACCTACTGTGGTTAGAGTGTTTTGCTCGGGTTCTACGCAGTTGTTAACAAACGCTCTACTCTAATAGAGTTCTCACGGAACGGGAATACGCGGTAGCTCCCGTGGTCTAATACGATGGAAAAGGTATGGTGTGATTCGCTCTCTAGTTGATGTTGCGGTTGGGGTGTATCGGTTTCGGGGAAGGAGTTTTGTATTAACGCCTTGCCCCTATTAACCCTTGGCCGGGGCCTGAACAAGACACTACATTGGTTAAGGCGGCTTGATTTAGTGTTACCTATGTCAGAATTTCCTCTACGGAAGATTGTACTGTGTAACTTATGCAATAGGATGGATATATGGGAATTATCGGTACTACATGGGCTCGCAAATCGGTTGGGCGTGCAATTTTCGAAGACTCCGTAGATCTGGTTGTGGTTTCTTCCTGATAACTCTGAATGAAAATCATATCGTCATGTGCCCTATTTATAGGTGCAGTAAACATACAAGCATGTATTCGGACCCGGGTGTATGACCGAGCCGAGCGCCCCCGGCAGGTTTCGCTAATCTCTAGTCCGAGTGAGCCTCGAGATTTAACGACTGTTAATCTACTAAGGCCAAAATACCTATGTATATAAAGTTGATACCGATGCGACACGCCGTTAAGGATGGGCTAGTTTGATAGTACGGACGGCTGTTCTTTGTATCAATATCTTAACCCTCTACTTACCGGGCTGACAAAAATGGCGAAAGGAACCCCCCATATTCTAATCGTAGGCGGTGGCCTAGGTGGCTTGCTTCTCGGCCAGACACTGCGCAAGAATAAGGTCTCTTTTGAGATTTTCGAGCGAGATCGCAGTGACAATATTCGAGTCCAGGGGTGGGCGATCGGCCTCCATACGTAAGTCATCCTTAACAAGATAGAGAAGTGTGGAAGCTAATGATTAGCAAGTATGCTTAATGAACTCGATACGTCTATCCCCGACGACATGCCATCACGCGATTTCGTAAACCATTTGTTGCCCCTGAAATTCAACTATGAGTGTGCCTGGTATAGACATGATCGCACTAGAAAACTTGGAGTCCGCGACGATGGCAGCGGTAAATTTATTCGTGCGAACCGTGCTCGACTTCGGAAGTGGCTAGCAACGAACATGCCGATTCAATACGGCAAACATGCTGTTCGCATTGAAGAACATGATGATTCAGTAACGGTATACTTCGAAGATGGGACTTCGGCCACTGGCGATATCCTTATTGGAGCGGATGGCCCTTATAGTCCTAGTAAGTATTTGGGGTACCCTGGGTAGAAATAGGACTGCGTGTTGACTGATCTTTAGCTAGGAAATACCTCCTAGGCGGGCAAGATGTTATTAGGAAGCCACGCCAAGGGGTAATAAACGGAGAGATCGTCCTAAGCGGTCGCGATATGGAAGAACAGCTTCAGATAGGATCTTCTTGTTATCTAGTCGATGCGAGTTTGACCGACGAAGCCCCCTCGTTCTTCTTCGTTGGCCTAAGCGAGGCCTATCCTGATGGGAAGTCGGGCAAATATTTCTTCAATTTGTTCTGGCGCGACGATGAAGCAACCAAGAAGGATTTCTGGACGTATTCGGCTAGCAGTGAGAAGTTATACGAGACAGCGTTGGAGAAAACGAAGCATCTGCCGGCCAAGTTTAGATCTATCGTAGAGAAAACGGGACCTGGAGGAATGAAAACCCCGCCCCTACACATCTACACGTTAACCATGGACCCGGAGTTATTGCCTAAGGGGAGGATTACGTTACTTGGTGATGCTGCGCATTGTATGCCCTCATGTAAGTGGCTATGACGAATCTAGCGATTCAAAGAAGGGACTAACGTGGAAGAACAGTTCGAGGTGAAGGAGGGTTCCACGCCTTGCTTGATGCGCTAAAGCTTGGGAAGATCTTAGCGCAATTACGGACAAACAATACCGATGAAATTAAAAGGGTGCTTGGGGATTATCAAGACGAAATGATCGAAAGAGGGTCCAAGGCGGCGGAATGGTCAACTACTGCCTTTGACGAAGCCTGGAGTGGCGAGGATGCCGGACCTCGCATTATTTGGGGCCTGCCCGTGGTGCCTCTGCCGGACGAGAAGATCACTCTGTGACAACATTCTGGATAAAATCGTGGACGTTGGTTAGTGTGTTGAGTAGTGTATTGAACTTGAATAGCAATACCCAAATAATACTCCCAAATTAATATTCATAATAATATACATAACCTGGTTAGGCCTTGACCTTGGGATGCCTCCCACATCTTCTGATTAGGAGGTACCTAGGATATTAGGGTTATCGAAATAGTCAGGAAGAAGCGACTATGGTCGGCTCAACCAACACCGGGATGCTTTCCTCCATGAGACCCCAGGAACACTGTAGTAGCCATCGGTGTTAGTGCCTGAATTTATAGTGCATTAAAGAGGATATATATGAAAGGGTAGAAGTGTACTTACCACACCACTACCGCCGCAAGTCCCTCTCATATTTTCTCCGATAGCGAAATGCTGTGTCCCGGCCAGGACCTTGTAACAATCCTCCCCGTTCGCCGTTAAGTTGGTCGTAAGGGTGAACTTGACATCGAAGTCCTCGGTTGGCGACGAGTAGTTTCCAGTTGTCTTAATAATCTCGATGGTCCATTTTGAGATTGAATCCGAAAGCACAGTTTGGTTTCCTCCCGTCGTGCACTCGACAGTACGCCCATATGGCTCTTCAACGTACCACGTCCAATCCACTGTGCAGTTTGCCGTGCTCGGCTCGAACGAGGCTCCTGAACCCGCGGGAATGGAGCCGGGATTTGTGATAGTTGCCCATAGGTGGGCGAGAGGGCTGTTTCCCGGACGGCCTGAAGGAGAGAACGTAGATAGTCTGGTTACTTCCCATGGCTTTAAATCTTCGGTAGGTTGATTTTGCTCGGATGAGCGGACGAGGGCGAAGAGGCTCGTAAGAGTGAAGTACTTGAGGTTTCTCATTTTGTCATAAGGTCTGTACGTGGAATCTGTACGTATGATTCGTATGTGAAATCGATGTATGAAAGCTGTGTGTGATGCGTATGTTGACTTCCAACTGGAACAACCTCACTCGAAAGTTATATACAATCCTCTGCTCGAATTATGGTTTGCTACCATGGCGTAACGTTAGCATATAGCGTAGCAGTGGCTGATCTAGACCGAGCTTATTGCAAAAGTCGGCGTAGAAGGATTTGAATTAGGAGGTTGTCATCACGGACGTCGAATCGGCTAAATTGCCGCGATCGAATCACTATGGTATTTCACTAGGACCGGACTCTGAATACGAGATACGTGAATACGTGACCAATGATGATAAAATTTATTTATAACGTGATGCATATGTGTGTACCGTTGCTCGAATGTCGTTCCTCGTCTCGTCTAAGCTATGGCATGTTATGTATGGTAAGCTTTGGACTTGTTCGATTGTCGATTGTATAGGACTGGATGAACCTTATACGACACTAATATACCTATAATTAAGGTATTTATCATCTACATTGAACCTAATATAATTCACTTTTTAGTAAACCTATCACTAAACTAACCTCTACTAGAACGTTACCGCGATATTCTAGCGGACGTAATTGTATGCTCTTATACGCTCGCAATCATCTCATCTCGCAGCTCCACCAGAAGGTGGCTTTGGCCCTGGCTCGTCCGGCCATGCCCGAAACATATCACGAAGCTTGTCCAATGGCGCTGTCATGAGGCCAGCAACAGTCTCATATGGCGGCTTATTCGGCGCGCTTGGGTGACTACGCGTTGGCGTGAATATCTTGGTCATCTCGAACTGCTGGGCTAGGTCTCTCGACCTTGTGGGCCGTAGTGCCTCTTCTAGTTTGACAAGATCGTGCTCTTCCTCTTGTTTGATATGCATTTTGAGGTCCGTCATCAGCGACTCGAGAGTTGGGATAAAATCACTATGATCAGGGGTCATGTTTTGGAATTTGTAAAGCTGCTCTTTAGTCTGGGAGACGGGCGGCGAGAATTTGTTAGCATATACTGTTGGACGTAACTGGAATGATTTGTATATATAAGGATGTGCTACACGTACTATCTGATGCTCTTCTCGATCTTTATCGGCTATCTCTTGTCCGTTGTTGAGGCCCGTCTCCATTGAAGGATATACGACTAGCTCTTCAGCTATTGCATGTCTCGTCAGCTCCCACACGAAGGCATTTTGGTATCGCTGCTGAGTATCATGATCGGTCGAATTGATAATCTTGTCGTAATATTTCTCAATTTGTCGGTGGTCTTGTTTTATCGCTGACGAAATGCCGTCTGCCTGGGTGAGAGTCTGCGTTGGGTCATTTGGCGAACGTCTGTCTCGGCTTGTCTTATTGTCTGCAGGTGAATTTGGGCTTATCATACCACTTGACAAAATCTTGTCGGAATACGGACGAAATAAGGCTATAGGAGTCGGCGGCACGAATAGTTGCCATGCTCCAAAGTTCTTCTTCCGTGCTAATCGAAGCGATTGTCGGAACATGGTAATAGTGCTTGAACCCGTCAATGTATTGTGATTCTCAGAATAATTCTCAAGGTTAGTATCTTAAAGATCGATCCGTGGCAACGACGATAGCTCAAGAGCCACGAACAAGTTGATTGATATTAATCGCATCTGTGTTAATCATCGATCGTCGCGTCAAGGATTCTAACGAGTGACGGTCATTCCCGTCATTAACACGTATTCGACGAGTTTTAGTTCGATCCATTCCAAACGCGATGACGAACGGTAGTAACGTGATTCGCAATATGGGAAAATCGCAGTAGCTAGGAGTATGTATAATGCAGATAGCGGTTTCGTTCAATGACGTTCTCGTACACAGTATTGGCTTTCACGATCTAATAACTGATCATTGGCCAAGTGCTCCTGAGGATATGAGATCGACTATGATCCCCGATACACGAATAAATTAGACCCTTGCGATTCAAATAACATCGAATATGTAATTACGAGCACAGAGACAACACACCCAAAGAAAGAACATCTGCGAGACTTTTCAATTTTACAATTAAATCTCCCCATCATCAAATTCATCAACATATGTACCTCCTAATGTATGTACCAAATATGGATATATCCAAACTAAAAGAATTAAATAGTTACATAGAATCTACCGCCAAGTTCCCTCGACAGCAATCTCAGATAAGCCGCACGAGTTCGGCACCGTGTACGAGCGGTTCGGGTCGCTCTCCCACGTAACAGCAGCCCCGTCGCTCGCCACCTTGACGAACTTGTACTCGAACGCGCGGCCCGGCGCGAGGCTCAGCGAGAGCGTCCACACGGGATCGGAAGCCGTGTACTTGGCGGCCGACAGGGCCGGCGCAGCCGCGACGTCCCAGTTGCCGAGCTCGGGGATCGAGCCCGCGAGCTTAATGGTCTCCCCGTACGATGTTACGACGGCCTGGTTGAATGTCAGTGATACGCTACTACTAGCCGCGGCGGTACACGCGGCGGTGGTGCTGGTTGCGGGGGCCGGGGACGAACTGGTTGCTGTGGTGGATCGCCTGGTCGTGGTCGATGTCGATGCGGAGCCGCCGTCGGCGATGGCGATGTCCGCGCACGACAGGTATACCTGAGGCGTCTGGAACGAGTTCCACTTGAACGAGAGCAGCGTGTGGTTGGACACGAAGTCTGGGATCTTGATCTTCTTGGTGACTGTGTAGCCTCCCGAGATGCTTGTGTAGCAGGAGTTCAGCGCCGAATTATCGACGCCCTGGCACTTGGTCTGGTCGCCGCTGTTGAATCCGTTGCACGTGAACCAGTCGTTTCGGTAGCACGCCTGGTCCTCGGTGCAGTCGGGGTTGTATCCGCAGTCCTGGCCGTCAACGTCAGTGCAAGGGAGAAGACCCGCCTCGAAGCAGTCTTCGGCAGCCTGCTTCTCGTCGTCGGTAGGGAGATAGCTAGGGTCGAGGAACTTGTCGACGATAGTCTGGTTCTGGCAGATGCGGTACGCGAACATTCCGCCGTGGTCACCGTTGTGGTCGACGCACCACTGAACATCGACGATCTGGCCGGGAGAGTACGTGGCCACGATGTCGTTTCCCCAGTTCGCCGATGGCTGGTTGTAGTCAAAGCTCACGCGGGCGTTGTACCCGCAAGGGCCTGAGCGGCCAACCGTTGCCACATCGAGGTCCGGCCAAGCTGTCACCGGCTCGAGAATCGTGCATTCTGGACAAGTATCCCCTCCAGACTATATATATTAAAATAGAAAATCAGCTTCTTTAGAATTCGGAAGCTTATCAAGGTAAGTAAACGTACCTCCGCTCCTTCACGAGTGCGGCTTGCTGGGATGGTTAGGTACCCGTGACCGTGAACGAGGGTGATGAGGCCGGAGCCAGCTAACGCAGCGATCGCTTTCATCTTGGAACGTCGAGAAGATTGGACTAGAGTAGAGTCTTAAGCGTGCTAAGAATGTGAAAACTAAAGATGATCTTGCGGTTGTCAAAGCTCATGTAGTCGACTTCATAGCTCGCTGGTTTACTGATATATATACTCGTCAACACGATGTTTATATCGGTTGTATCGTGGCGCATACGTGAGAAGGACCGAAATTTGAATGGGAATGGCGGAGGAAGCTGTTACTGCTCTACGATATACCGCCGAGGTCATTTCCAACTTGCCCGCCCCGCTCCTACGCTATGATTGCCCATTCGGACGAAATATTCTGGGGAAGCGGTGTTATACCTAGCATTAAGCCGCATATCCCCGGGCGTTCATCGGTAGCTCTAGGCGCATATCGTATTGTGGGGGAGGACCCCGGATTATAGCACTGATGTAATGCATGAACCTAGGCTATATTACTATATGTAGAATTGTCTTGGAGCCGAAGACTATCCTGGGTCTTGGGTCGAATCTTAAGACGGGGAAACTCCACATTTACAGGGCAACAGGGCACGTTTGATCTGGGGTTGTTTGGAGAACCTGCCAAGAATCTTCCCGTTCGAGAGCCCTCGTGCGGGCCAAATCCATATGATCCCGTCCGAGAAAGCGCCGGATGGAACGCTTCTAGAGTTGGCTCCATGTTCGGCGGCTCTTTTGCTGTCGTAGATCATTCAAATGCATTGCCAGCATTACGCTCCCTCAGCCTCCGAGCTCTAAACGCGAATCATTAGCTATAAACTCCGCCGGCAGACTCCGCCTTGGACGTTGGACTCCTTAATAGATCAGTTATACCTACTCCAATGAGTCGTGACAACTTCGTTGAGTCGACTAGTAATGGGCCGAATTGGTATCTCAAAACTCTCGAGATTACCTAGGTAGGTACGAAGTAGTCTGGGACGAAACCCAACATTTCTAAGAAAATACCTATTTTTTCAAATGCCAATCGTATTAACAGACTTGTAATGGGTGCCCCTTAATCATACATTCATCGTCCGCCGTGACATCATCATCATGAACAGTTTGCCCGAATTAATCTCCCTTCCCTCCTCCTACTCATTATTCGTTGTTCGTTCATTCAGTCAGTCGCCAATGGTAAAGGGGGTCGTCGGGTATCAAGCTCAAGAGACTAAAGAAAAAAAAAACAAAGCAGAGCTCATGAACTATTCCTCCGGCTATGCAATCAACAGGAGGGGCAATTCTCTACCCAGCGGATTACTACCGTTGACATATGCACAATAGTCCTTTCGCCGTATTAACTTTTCAAGTAAAAAATTACTTGCAGACTAGGCCACTCGACTACTCACACACCTCGAGATGAGTAGCCCCTGTATACCAATGATTCCACCCGCGCCCGTCGCTTCTACGTAAGTGTAAGCCCAGACAGACTCTCTGTCGCCGAGGCCTGGTCGACTTCTTCATCTGGCTGCCACACTGCCTCGATGATGCTCATACGGCAACCCTTCGGTCTAGTGACGCCCTTCGGCAATAAGTTAGAACATAGGTAGTCATCAGTTTTGAAGGAGGCAAGAAACTTACTTTGAAGACGAAACCATCTCCAGCCATCTCGAACAGCTGCTTGAAGTCTTCTTCTCCACGCTCCTGTGCGTTCAGCAAGCTCATCATGACGAGGTCCATGCTTCTTATTAGGCGCTCGTCCCAAGGGTTTTCGGTACCAGGCTCTCGGAGGCAGTGGTCGTTGATGATGATTCGAGCGCCGGGTTTTAGTGCCGGAATTAGGTTACGGAGGATCTGGACGGCATAGGGCGTTGAATAGTTGTGCATAATCCAGCGGAAGAAGTACACGTCGGCGCCATGGATAGGTTGCTCTGTGAAGAAGTCGTGCGCCTGGAACTGGATGCGCTTAGCGACCTTAGCGTCTGCGCATATGGGCTTCGGCGCGCTCTCGACGGTACTAGGGAGGTCTTGTACCACGAACTTGATGTTTTTGTACATCTTGGCCAGATGCACATCTACGAAGCCATGACTGCCTCCTATATCGACGAAAGTTCCGCCGCGGGCGTCCACATCCGTCAAGTCGCAGCCCTCTGATAAGTACCATAGCTCGTATCCTTCGCCACCCGTGAGGCTGTTCATAGCCTGTGCCATGCGCTCGGCGTGCTTGGGGTCCTTTCCAACCGTAACAAACACAGGCTCTCGGTCAACTGTATCGAAGGCGAAGTTGAATCCGGTGCGGGTAAGGCTCGTAGCTTCGGGGTACGCCCTTAGGGCTTTGACCACTTGGGCGGATGCCGGGTAGACACCCTCTGTGTTGAATATCACCCAGGCCTGGAGGTCCTGATCCTGGGCTAATAGTCTTGATGCGGCCGTATGTGCGATTACGCCTGGCTTTAGTTCCTGGAATACATGGTTCGTCATAGCATGTCGCAGTAAGCGGGCAAGGTTGATCGAGTCGAGAGAGGTTTTGGCCTGGAGTTCCGAGAGCGTGATGGAACCATTAAGGGGCACAAGTGTAGCTGGGATGTAACGTCAGCATCTCATGGATAAATATCATACGGTTACCTTAGACATACCGAGCTTAAAATGGTTGATAAGCTGTAGGCTCTGGGTGCTTAGGAACTATTTTGCTAGATTAGTATGACGATACGCAGCAGAAACGCAGCAGAAACGCAGCGAGAAACTTACATCCCAAGCCATCCATCGAACCGACTCTCGGGGTCCGACCATGAGATCATGCAGCTCCTGGGTAGCGTGGATGACTTCTCTACGGCTTCTGGAAACGTCATCTGGCATAATAGGAAAGTCACCCGGCGCGTCTGCGTCGAAGCTTGGAGTCAGAAGGTCATTGCTTTTGAAGTATGCCTCGACCTTCTCCGTCTCAGAGGCAATTTTCTGCGCGAGCGCAATCATCTTGGACGAGGCCATCGTAGGAGGAGTGCTCTTCCTCGGAACGCCCGCAACTCGGATGTTGTTATTAGGTTCTTCTTTATGGAGCTTCTGCTTGTGATGTTTATTTTCTAGTGTACTTGTCGGCAGTTCGAGCGTATGTTTAAGGTTCTGTCTTTTGTGCTCCGTATTGGAAGAAGTTGCCATGGGTGAAGTTGGGTGGAGCCAGGCACCCAATCTAAGCCTAACCATTTTTGCTCCTAGGTAGTGGTAACGACGGCAACTGTTGTGATAGTAACTCCTGCGAGGTAATATGCCGAGATTCGCGACTGAAATAAAGCAGGCCGCCAACGTGAATGCAAATATGTATACCTACTAACAGGTATAAGACAGAGAACCATAGCAACTTTAACATACAAAATTAGAGGAATAAGCTATACACAATCGGAAGTAGGTATGCAATGCTGTGGTATTGAAAACATAGGTTAGGTTAGGTGAATATGATAACTTGGAAAATGAGGTTGGGCCGCACAGAGCATAAACATTTAGCCTTTATAAACTCTGGAATCATTATAAGCTGGAGTGATGTCAACGTTGTGTAAATGAGCCCCGAAGCTTCTAGGAGGTAGCTTAGAACAAGGGAAATAAACCGGGGCTATCAATATTGTATTACTCCCTGAAAAGTGCTTATTACGCGAGACAAGTGGTGCTAGAATTCGAGGACCATAGATGAATGAAGTCAAACTAGAAGATGTACACACACCCTGCTAATAAGGAGGTCAGTATTCTCATTGGTTCGAGTTTGTTCTCTGTCTGACACCCTCTCCTGATTTCCTTTGCTTAGTTTCCACGAACGGTCTTTCTCTTTCCAGATACAGTATATATAGGTATGTTGTCTTAGAACAAGGCCACGCAAGAGCGAGTCAATATGCTGGATGCTGCATACCTAAGTGAAAATAAAAGTTTTGGCCTCCTCCCTCTAGGTATGAAGAGGTTAATAAATACTCTGGTTTAGTCGATAAGAGGAAGAGCTATCTAGAGATGAAATTGGTATCGTTGAGGTTTAAAATTTGGCGTTGAATGCGATATCTTCCCGAATCAGCAGGAGCTCTTAAGTGAGATAGATATATGTCTGGGAAAAACTGGTCATAGGTAATTAAGATAAGACAAATCCAGGGATCTTCCGGACCAGAGAACTGGTTGACAGCTACCGGGGACTTGGTCTTGGGTCCAAGAGGCGTTCACTTGTGGTGTGTGACACAGCAGACATATGAAAAGAACCGTAGTTCTCTTCACTTTTCGGTACGAGCAACCGGGGAGGCGAGGGAGAGAAAAATCTGTGTGCGCGTGTATTGTCTCCGTAGTGGTAAGGGATTGGAGGAATCAGTCCAGCAAAGTGGGATCGCGAGAGACACGCAGCTCCTAGACGGCGATTACCTTTTTTTCTTCTACATTTGTATAACCTGACGTGTCTTAGGCCATAAGGACCCAGTGACTCGGTTCCCAACAACTAGAACGGTCAGAATCCCGACGACCTGGAAAGCCTAAGGGAACGTAGGGCCAAGTGTAGATTTCGTTATGTGACTGTTCTGGCTGGTTGGTTGTGTGTGTGTTGTTCGGCCGTCGTGCGGACCTGCTGTGGGCTGTTTAGCTGCAGTTATCCTTTTCTTGCCCGGGTGTCTGCACTGCAGTGGGCTGTAACCCCTGTACGTTTGTAAGCCGGTTTATTTTTGTGCAGTGCTTCTATCTAGTAAATATACGGCTGATAATGATTAACATTTAGGTACTGGCTTTGTTTAGCTTTATATAGTTGTCAATACATACATATTTGAAGCCTATCTCTTATAGTTAAAGCCTATGGAGCTATCCCTGGGAAATGGTTGACCCTGCCCTGAGGCATACTATCGTCACATCTCGCCCTAGAATTTATAACTGTCCTATAGGACTGTTGAGTACGAAGTGGAAGTTACTTCTGCCAAAATGAAGTATTTAGACGGGTTTAGTTCCTACCTAACGTAGCCGGCCGCTTGAGGTGCTTTTCTCATTAGGCCTCAACGTTAGAGAAGTGGAATTGGCAGCCAATATAACCTGGGTAGTTTTAGAAGCAAGCTGCTCCCACGATAGCAGTCTTCTGGCTGAATATTACACGCGCAAAGCTCCATAAGGAAAGGAACCTTGGACTGCTTTTCCTAGCCAGTGATAATAATGATTGGCTCCTAAGTGTGTTACCTAATGACTAAATCAGCACCGATATCGCGAGTTGGAATCTTAAAGGGGCTATGGGTATCTGAATACGGTAATGGGCGATGGCATCCTAGTTAAGTTTAGATGAAAACCAGCTTGTCGGT